AGTTACAGGAAGCTTCATTCAGGTGTGGCAGAATGAATTTGATCCTAGATAGGATATAAAATACAATTAATTGCTGGGTGGGTTTTAGAATTTTTTTTCTTTTTGAAACAGGATCTGTGTTTTCCCAGCATTATGCTCAGTATTTATCATTTATAAATAACTTAATAAGAGACACAATGGTAGGCACTGTTTCCTATGTTTCCTATTTAATCTCTAATGATTTAGTAAAATGGGTGTCATTCGTCCATTTTGCAGGTGAGGGAGCTGAAGCTCAGTAACTTGCACAAGAATAATCCGAGTAGGAGAAAGAGGCAAAACTTAATTCCAAATCCATGCTCTCAATTTCTAGTTGCCTATCTGAGGTTGGGTTAATTAAATCAAACAAACAAAACATTTGAATGTATAAAGTCATATAGACACAGAAATCAATTGGTATAGACAAATCAATCAATTACTTATCTATATAATATTGTACATAGCCCTGGAAGTGCAAGATAAATTTTGTTTTGATACGTATTCTGTTCTGTAGTTGAAATATAATAGCTGAACAACAACTTCCCAGTAAAAAAGGTCATAACATTTTAAAAATGAATATATACTAGGCTAGGCCAAAAGTTCCTGAACTTTCTTGGATTCAGGCACCACCAGTGGCTCAATAATTTTTCATGACACCCTTAGGACAAGAGACATATCCAACTGCTCCATTTTATTAAGTAGTAAGGTCCAAACAACTAAGGTAGCTTTTGTAGTGTCTCTGTATTTTCCTCGAAGTTTTAAAACATGCTGCATGGCCCTGTGAATTAGCTACAGCACCCTAGAGCCTTGGCACACAGCTTGGAAACCATCGCACCAGGCACATGCCCATCTACGGCGAAAGGCCTTAGATGTGCAACTATGTGACATGTTCAATTGGACAGTTTGGACAAAACTATCAAGCAAACTCTTTTATAACTGTTTGTTTAATATGGGATATAGAAAATGGATTATTTTATTAGATTTTGCCTGCCTATAGATTTTTTTTTTACTTCCACATAAAATGTCTTCATGTCAAAAATTTCTAAAGTATCTATTAGAATTATATGATTAGAAATTATATACCAAAACAGAAAGCAGAGGGGCAGAGGACTATAGTCATTAGTAAGAAGAGAAGCACCTATTTCTCTCCTTTCTGCCTGTAAAACATGCGCTCTGAAGGAGTAGCACTTAACCTAAGAGTAGGACAGAGGAAGCTGTGTGCTGGGGAAAGGGAACTCGAAGTTGGTGTTAGAGAAATTGGTATGGACCAAATGTATGACTTTTAATCACTTTATCTCACAAGTTTCTCTCATAAGTCTAAAATATCAGGCTAAAACCAACATTCAAAAAATATTTTAAAGTTTGGTACATCTTTTTCTATGATAAGCAAATACAAAAGAGGTATTTTCCTAACAACAAAAAGTTGTTCTGCAGGTATAAAAGGTATGTATATTTAATTTCAAAAATATCTACCCAATACAACCTTCGTAGCTCACAGGTTGAAGTCCTTAGTTAAGAGTTTAGGATTCCACTCATACTTCCAACAGACTCTTCCACCAGTCAAAGTGTACTTGAACCAATTTATTTGAACATCCATTTATTTTATAATTCAGAATTGGAGCCTTAGGTATTTAGATTTTTTAAATATATTTTTTTTATTGATTTCAGAGATAGAAAGAGAGAGGGAGAGAGAAACAGAAGCACCAATGATGAGAGAAAGTCATTGATCGGCTGCCTCCTGCACGCCCCTGTTGAGCATAGAGCCCACAATCTGGACATGTGCCCTGACCGGGAATCAAACCAGGACCTCCTGGTTCCTAGGTCAATGCTCAACCACTTAGCCACACCAGCTAGGCAGTATTTAGATTTTTTAATTTATTCAGGACTATAATGATTGTTTTCTGATTAAAATGAGCTAGTACCCATAAATATAATTTAAAACTGGGATTTTTATTCTTACATTGTTTAATGATGTGCAGCTACATTTTGTAGGTATCCATTCCAAACCTGATTCTACCATTATATTTCTTAAAGGGAAATATATTTATGTCCAACAAAAAGCTTCTTTCTTTGAGAAACAGATGTTCACTAAATGTATGATGGTTTGGTCCCCCAACCTGTAATTTTATTTTCTTTTTTCCATGTTGAGAACATTTTAGCTTTTGTTGTGTAGTTCCATAGGTTGTTATTCTATTTATTTTATCAAGCAAACATAGTCTATACAGGAAAATTTATCGTCAATACTTTCTATGAATGGATTGATGACAAGCATTTGAGTTTTTGATACCAACAAATAGTTTATTTGTCATATTTACTTGACACTCAAAACAAGATGGATCAGTCAGTCTCCTTCATTGACAACTACTACTATCACTCAAAATAACTGACAACCAGAGAAGTCACCTATGGTTGACAATTATGAGAGGAATAAAAACGACGGCCCGTTGAAGAGAGATGTTAGGATCTGTTTCTCTCCCCACCTCCCCTTCTTTCCCACAATGTGACTAGGTAGGAAGTAGTCTGCACTATTCATCTCTTCCACCCAGCTCCTCAATCAAACTGACTCGAAGTGCCAGGGTGTCAACAAGGGGTGGCACTTTCTTTTGCTGCTGGCTTCTTAGTTTTAGAGTTTGGCATGATGCTAATTGCAAGCTTGCCAAGAACTGTAATGACTTTATTCTATTTTATTTCCAAGGTTGCAAAAGGAGTGGTATTGTTTTAGAACTTTTAGCACTGCAGGTGTGAACGTGAAACGGTTAATACACTCACCATTTTAGCAAAGGAAAAATGTCTGCATGCCACACACATTCCCACTGAACACATTTAGTATGCCAGCTCTGTCAAATGGGAGTGAGGCTGAGGTGTTCTTGACCTTTTCCAAGCCTACAGTTATGTTATTGTTCATACTCAATGTGGTTTTCTCTTCAGCACAATATTTGCTAATGGGACTTGTTTCTATAGTTGCTTTAAAAATTTCTTTTTGGGAAACAGAACTAGTCTATATGTACATATTGCAGGTGCGGTCTGAGGCGACGGATGATTTTTCAGTGTCCTTTTTCATTTTAGTAACCAAGGTTACCAAAACTACATTGGCAACATTTGTTTAATGAGAATAGTAATTCCTTATGAAAGTGGAAACAAAACAAAGCACAAAATTCTTTTATGATTAAAATCTCAGAATTTAGTGCAGCAATAGAATTTAAGTTATTCTTAAGAGTTTAAATATTTAAAACATAAATATAACCCCTAATTATTTATTTCAAAGTTGGCATTTCTGGGTGATTTGATCTACAAAGATAGAAGGATGTTGCAAATAATATTAAATGAATGACTTAAGGATTCAGAGTGAGAGCATCATCTTAAAACAAAGGAAACCAAAGTCAAGGAAAAAAATGTGCCAACTCTGTGTAAAACCCACAAAGGGTAAAGTAACATAAAAGTGTGAATTTTTATAGTCCTGAGTTCAGTTCACTTTTTACCTAGACTTCATAGTTGCCATTACTCATCCCAAATGACTTTGTATATTTGAAAAAATTATATTCCATTTCTTCAATATTGTATACAGAAAGATTTAAAGACTGGAAATAATGGTAAATATGAAAATTCAAAACATCATTTAACAGGAAACTTAGATCTGATTTTTATTAATGTTGGATAGAGTTTTGCAAATGTAATAAATACTGAAGCATAGCAAGATGTTAATGAGACAATTTATTAGCATGTAAATGAACCAAAATCTACTGTTATTTACAAAATGATATTCTACATAAATATCTAAAGTGATATTATTTCACTAACTGTTTTCAGTGGTGGTCTACTTTTATCAATGGAAATATTTCAATAAACTTGCTTTCCCTGTACTCTTTCTAGCCATGGTAATGATGTTTTAGAAGGTAGTTAGCTTATTAGTTTAGCCCATTTTTGGAGTTTGTTACTATTTTCATTTAACACATTGTAGTTGGCATTTTGGCTACATAAAATTTTTAAAATGAAGTATTAGATTCTTTTCAAAACTAATAACGTACAATTTCAGTTTTGGTAAAAAAAGAAAAGAGTCAAAATGACAGGCATCTAAAGTTAATAAGCAATATAAACAGTTATCTTGGTAACTCAACACTTAAAGCACAAATGCCCTTGCATTGTTTTCAATGAGTACTCATTCATTATTCATATATTTATTCAACAAATAGTTGAATGTGGTACTAAAAATTTAGATAGAACAATAAATAAGACAGAATCAGCACCTGCCCTCCTAGAGCTTCCAATTGAAGTGAAAGAAAATACAGGGGTGGGCAAAAGCAGGTTTACAATTGTGAGTGTGCGAGTTTTTGCTTGTATTATTTATTATTAATTATTGCATATTACACAATACAATTGTAAACCTACTCTTCCCCATTCCTGTATACAGGATCCAAAGGAACCAGGTGAAAGAGATCTAGCAGTCAGGCTCTCCCTGGTCTGAGTTGAAAGAGGTTCCGAATATCAGAGAGAGTGAACTCGGCCAATCCCAGCCCAGAGTTAAGAAAGAGTTTGGTCTGAGAACTAAAGGAAGACTAGGGGAAAATTAGGCTGTAAACATAGGGTGGAGACAGATAACGGAAGGCCAACTACAACTAATTCACATTAGGAACCTTGGGTTTATCTTTAAAAAGCAATGGAAATTTATTGGAAAGCATAGTCCTAGCTTATCTATGCAAAAATTAATTGAACCTGAAAACCATAGTATTCATATTTTATGAATACACTGGAGAGAGAAGTTACGAAACTGAATTCTAAAGAGTAAATACTGGCTTCAGCAGCATAGAAATCATCTAAGCTCTTTTAAATACCAACATAAGTCCTTTTCAATACTTTCTATGCGTTTCCTCTTTAAAATAAAAATGCTGTAGGGTGATCTCATTTTTTGGTGTGGCAGAAATGCGAAACCGCCTAATTTAACGCCATCCCCTCCACCCTCTCCCAAATGGAAACTCAGTGGTACTCACTGCATCCAGCCTTGTAGCTGAAGCCTGGAGGAAGGAGGAATCCTTGCTGGGCAGCTGCAGCCAGTGTCCGCTGATCAGGAGGGAATACGGGAATCATCAATGGCGGCAGCTGACCTTGAACCTGCTGAACATGATAAAGTGGATCAAAGAGAAGAAGTTGTGGTGCCCCACGCTTCCTACCCTCCTTGTTAGGACAGAAGAAAATCCTTTATGGAATTCAATATCCTGGCATACAAGCTTGTGAGAACACTGGCTTGAAGTCATGCTTAGGGACTACTACCTTAGGAGAATCAAAACACATAATAATTGAGAGGTGTTATCAAGTTCACTTTCTACCCTGATGAGTCCTTTCCATGCATGGTATCCATGACAGTGATGAAGCATCGCTACATTACACAATACGCCTTCTTCTCATTGCATTAATAAAATGGTTAAAAAACTACCCCTTAGGTTAGACTAAAACCCCTTTATGTAAAATCCTGCCAGTTAGGAGTATTTCTATTTTCGAAAACAACACCAACTAAACTAGTGTCATTTTATATGTGAAACCGCCCTTCGTTACTTGAAGATAATTCTCACGTTGACACCTAATTTTGAAATTTTATAATTCTTGAATAAAATAGCTGGAAGGAAACTTAGAGAGTAAGTAAGACTTTCCCTTTCCTTACAGAAGAGGTAACTGGGGCCAAAAGGCAAGTTAATTGTCCATGGCCATGGAATGGGATAGTCAAAACTAGGTGTAGAATCCAGTCCCTCGAATCCTGCTCTGTACTGTACTTTTCTCTTCATCTATCATTTTTCAGGCTTTAAACCACTCATCAAATGACATAGCTTTGGTTGCCGTCTTTGGACTACGCCTTAATTAGCCGGTATAATGCAGAATACAGATTTCACATCAGCAAATGAACAATACAGCACAATGGAAAACTGTCTTCTTCAAACTGAGCAAGAATTTCCAGGCCTAATGCTGTCATTTCTGCAGCTATGTCACATTAGTGACTAATGCAGAGGTTGTCATTAAATAAAGTACCTAGGATATTTTTTTCCAAATATTTAAGCAAGATCTCCCTGGCGAACATGATTCTTTGTTAGTGTTTGTCACTGAATATGTGAATGAGAAGTTAGGATCGTGATGAAAATCACATATCTGACACTTTATTTTCACTTAATTTCCATGGTAATTCAGTTACTTGGAAAATATTTGATAAACACCTACTATGTGGAAGAAAACGAGCTAGGCAGTAGGGTTGTAACAGTGAATAAGAAAGCCAAGATCCTATGCCCATGGAGCTTACATTACAGTGGGAAGAACAGTAAAAAGTAAAACAAATATACAAAATATTACAAACTCATCCATTTGCTAATGCTAACAGCAACTCTGAGATATGTCTCAGACAACACGCGTTTTCCTTTCTCCCACAGTGCTGCACACTCTTGGGCAGTTACGATTCTTAGATTTCTCATAATTTCTCACTTTAAAAGTCCACCTTCAGTTTCTCCTTCATCTTTCATAGTAAACCTCTGAGCTATTTCTGAGATTTTAGCCTGGTGAGTGTCCTTTTGGAGGTGGGAAGTAAGAGAGAGAGGGAAGAGGTGGGGGAGAGAATGGGAGAGGGACAGAGGGAGTGAGAGAAGAAGGGAGAGAAATCTGCTTTCGGCAATGACTCCAAATTAAAAAGCATTTCTTTTAGCCAATAGAATTTTAAACCTACCACTCTTGTATATTTTTAGAAAAACTAAAAGGGAATGACACCAGGAAAACAAAAAGTGTCTTAAGGTTAGAAAGGAAGGTTGTACCACGACAGCCAGTATTTTTTTTAATAGCCTGGAGAAAAGATAAACTTTATGTAGAAACTAATGAAAAACAATTGATAAAAGACAAAAACTTAGAGACCGAATACTGAGCAAGTGTGTAGGAATAAGTGGCCTAAAACAAGAGGTAGACATTGGAAGGCAAAACAGTATGGGGGCTCTTTCCGTGTAAGCAGAGGACACCGACAAGAATTACACGCAGAGACCAACAGGAAGCCTGCCACACTGGTTAAGGTGATCACCGGCTACCGTATATCCTTTATATTTCGTTGTTGGTAAGTTCTACTTTATATAGCAGTTCTCTTCCTTTCTAAGACAACATAGATTATAAGATGTATCTGTCATAATTTTAAAAGAATTTGAGAGCAAAGGAGAAAGAAATTTAAAATGAAACATACAAATATGAGAAAATAACTCCTAGAATTGCCGAAACAACACTTTAGGGCAGTCATTCTCAAACTTGAATGTATATTTGTATCACTGGGCAAGCTCTGAAAAACTCTCAGTGCTCAGACTGCTTCCCAGACCAATTAAATCTGAATGAGGGGTGAGACCCAGCCATCAGCATTTTTTACAGTTCCCCTGATGACTTCAACGTGCATCCAGGCTTGAGAAGTACCGCCTTAAAGACTGCTTTCAGTAACTGTCAACACATCTTCCTGTCTTCATTTTTGCCTTGAGTTACAAAGCACCTTCACATACATAAGTAGTTAAAAAGAGGACGCTGCCTGGCTTTTACAGGTTCTGGTGCCCACAGGATAAATCAGATATTAAGCTATATTCCTCACAGAATTCCTCCCAAATGTGTCTTGTATCTGTATTTTACATGCCCCTTTTGCAAAAAAACAAACACACACACACACACAAAAACAACTCTTGATGGTTTGCTTTTACCTAGAAAATAATACCCGAATCCCTCAGCCTAGTATTCTCGTTTCCACAGTCTGTGCCCCATCTATCTGCCCAGCCACTCCTGCTGCCCTCGTTCCGACATCCCGCACTCTGGCCTCAGTGAATCGTGAAGAGTTCCCTGCACACTCGGTGCTTTTCCCTGCCCGATTGCATTCAAACGTATTTTCTTCTCTGTCTTGAGTGATTTGTCTTTTCCTTTACTTCTTGGCAAAATTCTACTTATTTTTCAAAGGTTTCTGAGACCTACATAATGTCTTTGCCTGTGAGGCACTTCTTTCTTATGGTGCCAGTTTTCAGGCAGGAAAAAACTGTTACTTCTTTTAACTTCATAAAGCTAATGTAATCCTACTGTATTGAATAATCATTACTTGTATAACGCGAGTTTCCCTTCTAACCTAGGAGCTTAATAGGGAAAGAGGTGGTAACTTTATTATTTTACCTTCAGAGCTGAGAACAGGCAAAACTATTATATGTATTGATAATTCATAAATAAAGGAGAAGAATGAATTATACAGTCCCATTTTCCTAATGATATCTTCATGAACCAACTCCAAATGTCCAGGAAATGCATATGGACAAAAAAGTGACTTAATGACCACAAAGGAATTCCATTTCAGCAAGAAGAATCAAGTTCCAACTGCTTCATGTTCCTATTCTTAAGCTACAGCAAAATGGTCTTATACATTATCCATGACTCTTGGAATCATGCATGCATGAAGAAATAAAAGGTAATCCAGAAATATTCAAAATTGATTATGTACTTCTGTAATGAACAGTTATGAGTGCCTATTATGTTCTAGTAACATGTTTTAATTATTATAGCTTTGCAGTATGTTTTAATAAAAGTTAGTACTCTGTCATTATTATTTTCTTTTTCAAATATACCCTGGCTTTTTTGACATTTATTTTTCCACATTAATTTTAGGATATGAAATTTTTATTTGAATTCATTAACTTGATGGCTTTATGGCTAATAGCAAGTTATATCTCTCAATTTATTTAAATCTTCTTAGCTTCATATAATTCTCATAGTTTTCTAGGTAATTTTATTTTTAAGACTTTATTTTTCTTAAATATTTTTATTGCTATTGTAAAGTGAATGTTTTCTTGTTATATTGTTTAACTGGTTGTTGTGTGTATATTAAGTCTCTCTATTTGTCTATGACAGTTTTTATCGGGTAATTCATTTGTAGTCTAATAATTTAAAATATCTTTTCAGCTAAAAATTTTAGTATTTTAAATAATAAATTGCAATGAATTCCAGGGCTTTAATAAAGGTGTGTATTCTCAACTTTTGTCTTATAATAATTATTGAAATAAATGTTGTGCTAGTATTATAATTTGTTTTAATGCATACATTTTTCAAGATCTTCATATATAGAATAATAGAGTTTTAAGGCTGAGAAAGATCATAGAGATTATCTGGCACAACACAATTATGTGCTAATAAGGAAATAAAAATTAAGATCTCACATTTAGGTAAGAGCGAAGTTAACACTGAAACTATGTCTAACTCTTAATCTGGTACTCTTTCACACAGTGGAAAATGTAGAAGGGAGAGGAGAGGGGCCAAAGGACCTACAAGGGACACAAAGGAATTAAAACAGAAAATAAGCCTAATTTCATAGACTATCATAGAACATACATAGAATATGTTTTCATTAGAATATCACAGAACAGATGATAGAGCACTGTACTAGTATTGAGAATAAAGTGAATAGTAAAATAAATATAATCCAAAATGTGTGGTTAAATTGCACATGCAACAAGCAACTCATGTCAAAATACAGTTGATCTCATTAAGTGGGATTTTGTATTTGCAAAGTTGCCTTCTCATTAAAATTTACTTGTACTCCCACAAAATTTACTTTTACTTGTGCTTTTGCAGTCACTCACAGACTTGTGCAAAGTAGCAGTAAATCTTGTTGGTGATTCGCTGTTTAAAATGGATTTAGAATCATTTCTCCTTTTGCTATTCTGATTGGGTGGTGTTTGCTTCCTTGTGCTCTAAATAACTGATTTGATTCTTCGCTTCGTCTACTCTACTGTTGATTCACTGTAAATTATTCTTCATTTCAGTTTTTGTAGCCTTTTTTTTTTCTTAAATATGCTTTTATTGATTTTTAGAGAGAGGATGGGAGACAGAAAGAAAGAAACATTGATCAGTTGCTTCCTGCATGCACCCCGACTGGGGATCATACCCATACCTGGGCATGTGCCCTGACCAGGAATCAGATGGACGACCTTTCAGTGCACAGGACAACACTCAACCAACTGAGCCACTCCAGCCAGTGTTTCCTTCATTTTTGACTGGTCCTTTTTGATGCTGTTGAGGTCTTCACTAAGTTCATTGACTATACTTATGACCAGTGTTTTGAACTCTGCATCTAGTAAATT